TTCCGGTGAGCTTTCTACCCGGAAAAGCTCACCAGAAGCACTTTTTTACCAAAAAATGATAGCGGCGCCCAGCAACCAGCGGCCCGGTAAGGCTTGTTCCGCGGCCCGGTACCGGTCCGCGGACCGGCGGTTGGGGACCCCTGTTCTAAAGTACCCCGTGTTTTAGTTCCCTTATATCAAAGGAAAGCATGCCATCCTAGCAGCAAGTCATGTCCTTCTAAAGTCAATAGTCTAGTGTTTCTTAATGTTATCCATTCCTTTACCCACATCAAACTTGTCACCTGGTAATATAGCTCCCAGTTAGGCAATCTTGTATCTTGCATCTTGTAGCAGTTTAAGTTTTATTCTTCCTTTCTTTCCCTGCCAAATATATTTCAACACAGTTCTGTTTAAGTCTTCAAAAAACTCTTTACCTAGTCGGACTAGAATTGTCTGGAATAAATACAGAATTCTAGGCAATACATTCATCTTAATTGTAGATATTCTCCCAATCAATGATATTTGTAAATTTTCCCATTTTGCCAAATCTGTTGCAATCTGCTGTTTGAGTTTAATATAATTAAACAATATAATTGTCCTCCTTCAGTGTGCTACATCTTGGTGTAATGTGTATCCCTAAATACTTAACCTTATTTGTGATCTGTATTTCTAAAACTGCTTCCAACTTTCTTTTGTCTTGCTAACATATTTTTTGTTAATACTTTTGTTTTATCTTTATTTATTTTCAAACCTGCTACTTTTCCATATTCTCCTATCTTTTAGGTGCTGTTTCCAATGGATCCTCTAGTATGGAATGCCAGATCATCTACAAAAGCTTGCAATTTATACTCTTCCTTTTTAATTTTCATTCCTTTTATTTCTTTATCTTCTCTAATATTCTTATTCAACACTTCCAAAGTTAACACAAACAGCAGAAGCGACAGTGGACAACCTTGTCTTGTCCCTTTTCTTATATCTATAGATTCTGTTAATTCTCCATTTATCCTTTATTTATTTATTTATTTAAATTTATCCTTTGCAGTTTGTTTATGACATATCATTTCAATGGCTTGAATAATTTTTTTACCAAAGCCCATTTGTTCCAATTGCAATAACAAATCGCCAACTCACGTTGGTCAAAGGCTTTTTGTGCATCCAGAAACATGAAAGCCTTTGCTTTTCTGGATGTGCCTCATAATATTCCAAAGTGTCCAGGATTATTCTCACGTTGTTTTTAATTTGTCTCTTTGGCAGGAATTCATTTTGATCAACATGTATAACTTTATACATGTTGATCATTAAGTATCTTTTCAGTCTTTCTGCCAAAATTGAAGCGAGGATTTTATAATATGAATTTAATAGGGATATAGGTCTATAACTTGTTGCAGGTCTGTATCCTCCTTCAGTATAAGTGTAATATATGCTTCTGACCATGTTTTGGGTATTCTTTTCTTTAACATAACTTCATTCATAACTTCTAACAGATGGAAATTCAGTATTTCCTGGAAAGTCTTGTAAAATTCTGCTGGCAATCCATCTGGACCTGGTGCTTTTCCAACATTCTGTTTTTTTAAAGCTTCTGTTAGTTCCATCATCATTATGTTCCCTTCTAGCATTATTTCAATGTCTTTAGGTATCTGAGGTAAATTTGCTTTCTGTAAGTATTGCTTAACTTTTTCTTCTTGAATATTCTCTTGAAAATACAGTTTTCCATAGTATATTTTTTTCTTCTACTCATTTCCATAGCAAGCATGTCCTTTGTTTATTAATTGATTAATCCTTCTTGATTCTCTTTCCTTTCTCAGTTTATAGGCTAGCCATCTGCCTGGTTTGTTTGCATCTTCAAAGTAATTCTGTTTAGCATTTTAAATTTTTTGTGCTAGTTCCTCTTTTTCCATTAGTCCCATTTTATGTTTAATTATATCCATTTTATTCTTAATGTCTTTTTTTGCGGGAACTTCTGTAACTCTTTTTCCAGTCTTTCATAGTCATCCTCCAAAGACCTAAAAGTCTTTTTCTGTTTTATATTTCTTTTCCTTGTATAGTCAATTATCAAACTTCTTGTGCAGGCCTTCATCGTGTCCAAGAGATTCTGTAAAGAAGTATCCTCTTTTCTCTTTAAAAAAGAAAGCCAATTCTTTCTCTATTTTCTGTTTAAAATCTTTTTCCTTTAATATCGTATTATTTAAAGTCCATCTAGATCTCATATCCTTTCCAAATAACTGTCATTGGATTGTGGTCTGCCCAAGTGCTTGGTTCTATTTCAATTTCTCGTATCTTAGTAAGTAGTTCTGCTGACATCCATATCATATTTATTCTAGGCCATGATGCATGTCTAGTAAAAAGTATATTGCTTACTTTCTACATTTCTCTCTCTCCATGCATCTTTTAAGTTTAATTCTTCTATCATTCAAAATAAAGGTTTTGGTAATATCTTTCTAGCTTTCTTTGTTGATTTCTGTGTTTTATAGTCCAACCGATCATTAATTATTCCATTAAGGTCTCCCATCATACAAATATTAACATAGTCCAATTCAATTATTTTCATATGTGATTTCCTGTAGAATTCTTCTTGATTATCATTTGGAGCATAAATTGCAATTAAAAGTGTTTTAACATTATTGTCCATTATTTCCACCATCAAAATCCTTCCGTCATCATCTGTATAAATTAATTCTGCCACAATTGTATCTCTGATATATAAGACCACGCCTCTTTTCTTTGATTGTGTCAGTGACATGAATAATTTCCCTATTTTTTTTTTGCTTCAATATATATTCATGTTATTTTTTACTATGTACTTGTAAACAAATTATATCAAATTTTAATTTCTCTAATTTGTGAAATACTTTCCTTCTTTTAGTAGCCAAATTAAGTCCGTTTATGTTAATCATAATTTCCTTTCATCCATGTTAAGCTTTATCAGAGGGTTTTATTGCTCTAATAGATCTTAATTCTCGTTGCTGTATGGGTACACCACCACCTACTGCACCTTCTTCTTTTTCCTTTTCAATTACTGCTATACACTCCTCTTGAAGTTCAATGTGACTCTTCTTTTCTTTCTTCTTCCTCCTTTCCTCTAAAAAATTCTAAATAGAATAACTCCGCTTTTCCGACTATCAATTCTGTTTTTGTTCCTGCCAAGTGAACAAGAGGTCTTAGTATTGAATGTTTAAAGATAATATAAAGTATATTTCTTGACTGACTTCTTCCTTTAATTTGCTTCCTGGTATCCACTAAGTAGTGATAATCACCCAAACTCTGAAGGAATGTGGAAGAAAAAGCCATCCATGGCACTTGAAGTGTCACTTCTCCAAAGAGGGAATGTGTTCCTGAGGTTGCTTCTTTTAGGCTAAAAGTCATTGAAAATAAACTAGTTCTCAGTAATCTCAGTTACAACTAGATTTGTGACAGTAGTCTAGCCATATATGGCAGTAATTCTGTTGTAGAGCTGCATGGTGAAATATAAGAAAGTGATTGTATGCTATATCTGGCAATTGCAAATACTGTGGGACTCACATTCAATAAATTATTGTAATCCAGAACATTTTTTCAGCTACTAAGATTTTTTTTTCATATACAGGTACTCCTCAACCTATGACTGTACTGGTCGTCCATTATGGCAGCTGTCATCCACTTGACCAAACCAATCTTTGTTCTGGAGGTTGTTAAGCAAATGCCACAGATATTAAGTGAATCAGTTTGCTAATGGCTAGTTTGCCAAAAAGAAAAAAAAAGTAAATGCTGGTTTTAGGCAAAAATGTCAATAAATGTGGTCACCTTCTGCAAACAGCCCTAAATGCAAGCTGGTTGCTGAACACCCGACATACAGTCAAGTGATTGTGGGGGGAGGGGGGAAGACGCCCTTCTGAACTTCATAACCGAGTTGTAAGTAAGTACCCTGGGAGGAGGGAACAGTGTAACTTCAAACGGTTGATAAGCAATAGGTCATAAGTCAAGGACTAGCAATACCACTTAGACTTATATACTGCTTCATAGTGCTTTACAGCAGGGGTCCCCAACCACCGGGCTGTGGACCGGTACCGGGCCGCGGAGCACTCTCTACCGGGCCGCAAAGAATTTTTTTTAAAAAAAAATGGCTTTCTTCACCTTCGGTGAATGCTGCTGGGATCAGGGATCAAGGACACAAATGAAAGAAGGGGAGGGAGGAAGCAACCGAAGCCTGTCCTTCTCTCTGGGTCAGCTCTCTCAGTCGCTCTCTCGCTCCTCCACCAGCCCAGGAAGAAACTGCTTCAAAGAAGTGGGGGGGGGCTTTTCCTGTCGCCGAAGCGCCCGTTTCTCCCCCACCCCGTCCGCCCGCGCGCACGCGGAGTTCAACCCAGTGCTCCATTCTGCCTGCCTGCCTGCCTTCGTTAATGGTTGAATCGGAACAGCTTCGGCTGAGTAAAAGAGGCGAATAGTTATTATTCTCAGCCGAAGCTGCTCCCAAACAACCAGAAACTAAGGCAGGCAGGCAGGCAGGCAGAACGGGACACTGTGGATTGAAGCGCGCGCGGGCGGGCGGGGTGGGGGTGGGGGTGAAACGGGCGCTTCGGAATAGCTGCGGCGACAGGAAAAGCCTCCTTCTCTCCCCCCCCCCCCCCCCCCCCCCTGCCAAAATTTTCTGCTTGAAACCGGTCCCTGGTACAAAAAAGGTTGGGGACCACTGCTTTAAAGCACTCTGTAAACGTTTTCCAGAGTATGTATATTGTCTCCAACAATCTGGGTCCTTATTTTAACAACTTTGGAAGGATGGAAGGCTGAGTCAACCTTGAGCCAATCAAGATTGAAACTCCTCACAATTAGTAGTCAACCTGCAATAATGCATTCTAACCACTGTACTACTACAGGTATTGCTGTCTAATTACTGAACTTGCTGCATTAATTTCCCAGTTTTTAGTAATGCAGTGGTCATTTATAAAGATGTCTAAAGTATAAATTTCTGTAATGAGATACTCTTCAACTTGTTGGCAATATGTCCAGTTTGAGGAAACCCATTAATACATATTTCATTTCTTCAGGGCTCTGGAAACTAACAAATACAATCACATCACTGCTACCTACTTTTTACTAGCAGAGCGGATTTTAAGAGAGAAACAAGAAAAAGAAATACAAACCAGATCAGCAAGTCCAAGCAATATAAAAGCACAATTTAGGTAAGATTTTAGATTCTACCTATTATGTATGTGTGTGCACATCTATCCATCCATCCATCCCTCCCAACTTTTATTATTTGTATCTAAATCCTTTAAGGGGGCTCACAACTTTATTTTAAATGTATATTTTGAAAATATTGTAGAATGAATGCAGTTATCTGTATAACAAGTATAACCCTTCTGAAATATGAGAAGTACATATTTGTAAGAGTGTTAGCTATAGAAAATGGTAAATTGCTTTAGTATTGTGTGTTCTCATTCAGCAATAATACATTTCTTTCTCATAGTAAATATGATGATGTGTAGATTTTTAGACAAAGGCAGGGGTGGGCTGCTGCCGGTTAATTTTACATCTGTTCACCAAACCGGTAGTTATAACAACTGGCTGGCACTGCCCGCCTGCTCCACTCCTCCCAGGAGTCTCCACACGGTCAGTTGATCCCAGGTAAGTGCAGGGCTCGTGTGGGAAGCTCAGGGAGGCAAAAAATGGGCCTCCCAGAGACTCCGGAAGTCTGGAAACAGGTCAATTTCCAGCCTCTGGAGAGCCTCCAGAGCCCAGGGAGGCTGTTTTCGCCCTCCCAGAGGCTTGAGGAAAGCCTCCGGAGTCCAAGGAGGGCGAAAACGCCCCCCACCCACGTGCGGCAGGCTGATTAGGCCACACCCACCATGGCCACGCCCAACCAGCAACTGAGCAGAGAACTGGTTGCTAAATTTTTTTGAAGCCTGGACAAAGGTCTCTCTTTCAGTCTGCATCTGAATAAATTGCAGGATATTACATGAATTTCAAGGCTAAGAAATAATCGGTGCTCAAATTTATTGATAGAGGCTTTAAGTCTAAGATATATGCATAATAATAAGAGAGTATTTGTATTCTCTAATATTAAAAAAAACCCAATTGTGGTGTTAATTTTGAGATACAGAAAGACAAAGCAATTAAAAATGATAATGCTTAAATCTTATTGCAACCTTTTCTAAAGAATAGTTGCATGAAAAAGCCAAAGATAGAAAAATAAACTCTCTAAAAATATCAAACTAATTTAAATGTAGAAATGGAATAAACAACTTGAATATATAATTAGGAGGGTTTCTTCAGGAAGACTATTTAAAATCACTATAAATAGAAGCTAAAATAAATTATATATTATAATATAGAAAGAGCCCAAACAAGTTCAGGAAAATGGCACTGTATTTAAAAAGTTCCACCAAACAGACTATATGAATCAAGAAATCTTATTTTAGTAAATGAAAAAAAAAGCATAAGTTAAATACTTCTTGTTTTATATGATTGAATCCAATACTTGATGTTAGTTTCAGTTTATATTTTCAAAGTAGCAACTGGGTGACTGGTTTGACTGCAGTTGAAATAAAGGTGGGAGAAGGATAACATTTCCAATACTTATATTTTCTTACAGTGTCACTGTTCTTGTTTGTTTGTAAGATTTTTTTTAAAGAAAAAGGTTTAGTGGTTTTGGAGAGTGTGATTTTTACAGGGAAAATTAGGAATGGGGTGGTGCCCAGAATGAGAATAGGATTACAGCTTAAAGTTATGAGTATTTTAAGAGTGAAAATCTGCATACACTTGGAAATTTGTTTAATCTAAGCAGGATTGAACTTCTGAAATATTGGCATAAGACTGGTTGAATGGATTTCTTAAAAGCTCAAATTTAAGATTAGCACCAAGGCAATCAATAGAAACAGGCCTAAACTATCTACATTTAGTTTTTTAAGTAGCTCTGAAGCAGTTAAAATCTGTCAGAGTTGTAATAGATATCAAACATGAGGACAAAAGAAGTAAAAATATTAACATTTAAAAAAAAAAATCCATACCTGAAATTTGGGCTAGAAATCTACTAATAAAAATTAGTTGATATCTGAAGTCTCATTCTCAATCAAGTCCAAATTGGTCTGATTCCTCATTGATGAAATTTTTTTTCAGAAGGCACTGTGGGTTACCCACTGGTTCCATGAAAACCAATACAATTGTTTTTCTTTCACCTATTTGTTTTAAAATGGTCCACACTACTTTTTCTTTGAGAAAGTGAACAGTTGGCTCTCTGAGTCTAAATTTTTTCTCTTTTATTTGCATGCCTCCAAGCTGGGATATCAGTTACCTGTCCCACTTACATATGGGAAGGTTCCAGCAGTTCTTTTGAGAGCCACAGGAATACACAGAAATGGGAATCAATGTTGGCTAGATTATAAAAGATTGTTCTGGAGGACCATAATATCTATTGGACTTGCCTCTTCCATTATTACTATTACTGTGGCATTTTTAAATTGCTAATAAGTTGCACTACATATCAGTACGTTAGTATCACTTTAGTTATTTAAAAAAAAATTAAATAATTAATTCCATTAAGAGAAAAAATTGATCCAAATATTTGAGACATAGTGAAATTTCCATTTTGTTTATATGTTGATATGCCTTAATTTGTCTCTTTGTTTTCAAAAGACAGCCTGGAATGATTTAAGAAATTAAAGTTTAAGGTGTAGCCACACAGAATTAATTATTCAAATGTTTGAACTCAATTTAATGGATAAAAATGTTATTAATTTTAAAATACATATTATTTATTTTTAATATTTGCAGCAATAATATATTGTATTAAAATGAGAAACAACATGGAATCTCTTGCTTTGGAGTATTTTTCCTTTTTATTTTTAACCAAATTTGCATTTTCTTGATTCCTCCGTTTTGTTTATTTTAGGCAATCATGGCCAACAAAAATAGATGTTCCCCAAGATTTAGATGATGACCTTACAGCTTCTCCATTATCCCATGCAGCTGTTCCCCAATCTCCTGCTCGTAATGCTGAAAATGTTCTTAATGGACATAGAAGTAAGGCACTTGAGTCGGTCAAGAAAGAGGATGTTCCTGAATTAGCTGGACCAGCACTTTCAGTTGTTCCCTCAGTGAATTTAAAACCTACAACTAGTAGTCGGAAGTGCTTGTTTAGAGTAGAAGAAGATGAAGAGGAGGATGAAGAAGATAAAAAAATTGTTTCTCTGTCAAATCAAGTTGTTCTGCGTCGTAAGCCTTCTGTTACAAATCGTCTTACTTCTCGAAAAAGTGCCCCCGTTCTAAATCAGATTTTTGAGGAAGGGGAATCTGATGATGAATTTGATATGGATGAGAATTTGCCCCCTAAATTAAGTCGCCTAAAAATGAATATTGCTTCACCCAGCACTGTGCATAAACGTTACCACAGAAGGAAAAGTCAGGGTCGTGGATCTAGTTGCAGTAGCTCAGAAACAAGTGATGATGACTCAGAAAGTAGGCGGCGTTTAGATAAAGACAGTGGATTTACTTATTCCTGGCATAGAAGAGATAGTAGTGAAGGTCCTCCAGGAAATCAAGGAGATGGAAGTGGACAAGGAAAACCAAGCAATGGAAATGGAGGGATTGACAAAACAAGTCCTGGTGATAATCATAAAGAGGGTGGAAGTCCTTCCAGTAGCTCTAACGGAAGCACGAATAATAATTCAGGTTCTACTCGCAGATGTGCAGGATCTGGTAATGCCATGCAGTTGTCATCAAGAAGTGCGGGTGATCTGGTTGAAAGTCTCAAGTTGATGAGCATTTGTTTAGGTTCTCAGATTCACAGTAGCACTAAATACATAATTGATCCCCAAAATATTTCGTTTTCCAGTGTGAAGGTGCAGGAGAAATCAACATGGAAAATGTGCATAAGTTCTGGGAATGTAAATCCAGTTTCATCTTTGAGCAGCATAAAATTGTTTTCTGACCAAATGTCAGGTGCGGCAAATGAGTTAGAACAAATAAAGAACAAGAACTTGAAAAATAATGTGCTACAACTACCTCTGTGTGAAAAAACAATATCTGTGAACATTCAGCGAAACCCGAAGGAGGGACTGTTATGTACATCAAGTCAGACAACTTGTTGTCATGTTGTTTGACAATAATCATATTTAACCCATTCTACTTGACATCACCAATCTTCCTGTTCAGAGCTGTGAATACTTTATTTCACTGAACTTTTGTTACTTTGTCTTACTATGTTAACATAGGCTTTAAGCAGTAATTTATTAGAGTTTAATTTAGTTTTGCTTGTTATGACAAAGCATGATACTGTGCATGTTGCTAGCCAGTAATTTCTTTTGTTCCAAACAAACCCAAGAGCCGCGGTGATAATAGTGGTTAGAATGCAGTACTGCAGGCTACTTCTGCTGACTCCCAGCTGCCTGCAGTTTGGCAGTTTGAGTCACCGGCTCAAGGTTGACTCAGCTTTCCATCCTTCTGAGGTCGGTAAAATGAGGGCCCAGATAGTTGGGGTCTGCTCTGATTTGGTAAACTGCTTAGACAAAGCTGTAAAGCACTGTGAAGTGGTATATAAGTCTAAGTGCTGTTGTTATTTTTCTATCTTTCTAATTTTACTGTAGAAAATCTGGATTATAGTAAGACTTGTGTCCAAATCCAGTATAAAGTAAGCACTTAGTAGTTTCACATTCTGCACTTAAATTAGAAACATCATTTTTGTTTCTTTGTAAGACGTCAAATTATGTTCAGATCTTCTGTGTTAAAATATATGAGATGTGGCATAATTATCTGTGTTTGCAACAGAACCAAAGCAATAAAATGTTGATACTGAAATCTCTTCTGGAGGTTTTAGAATTTCAAGCCTTGTACAAAGCAAAAGTGCACTGAAAAGTTATCTTCAACTCTTGATTTTTAATCCGACATCTTTGTCTTAAATGCATGAGTGATGGCTAAAATGAAGATTTTGATTTGATACAGACAAGATAAAAAAAAATCTCCAAGGCAGCTTTCCCCATAATTAAATGCAAATAATCTTTTTAAAAAAGAGTAATCTAACAAAGGAATAGTGTAATTTAAAAAAAATTCCCCATCCAAGGGAAAGCATTCATTACTATTAAATATAATTGGTTGTAAGTATTGTGCAAAATATGTAAAATGGACCAATTTGTGGTTTATTCAAATAGATCTCTAGTTGATATCTATTCCAATAAATCATTTCATATATAGTAACTGTTGATAAAGATATTGAAAAAACATTTTTTCCAAATTTACTTTCCACTATGCCATTTAATATTTTCATTATTAATGGAATTGTCATAGAGAGTTGATTAAAGATATAATAAAGTAATTTGAGCATGCAGATAAATGAGACAAGATGGGTAATTGTCACTTTTGTATAGTGTTAATTATATTCTGAAGTTAAATGCTTCAGAATACCGAAATGCATACAGAAAATTCAGCTAGACATTTCTAGTAAAGGAGAGAGAGTAGGAATAATTGCTGGAATCTGAACAAAAGAAGAGTCTGTTCAGATTATCAGAGCCTAATTGGAATACTTTAATATGCCCCATGGCAAGATAGGTGGCAAATAAATTTGATAATAACATATCCCAAGTTCTCTCCATGGATTCAAAATGCAGCATGGATTATCTTACTGGAAAACAAATTATTTTAATTAGACATTTAGTTTGGAATGTGATATATAATTTGCTTTGATAATTTTCCAAATCAATAACACAAGTTGGTATGGAGCATTTTCTTTCATTCTTGAGTATTTGCTTTTTTAAAATCCCTTGCTACTGAAATGCCAGCAAATGAATGTTTTGGCACTTTTTCCTGTTAAAATACTTTTGACTAGATGAATTAACTTTTCTGAATATGTATCTAGAATAAAATATCCCCAATTTGGGGAAATATAAGAGTGTTATTTTCTTGCTCTGTGCACTTGAGTCTTCAAAGCAATGCTGGTAAAAAAAAAACTGATGGTATTTTGTAGCAGCAACCCAGACAGTTGTCTGAGAGAGTTTACATAAGATGTGTTCAGAAAGTATTCACACTATCTTTTGTCAATTTTGTTATGCTGCAGCCTGATTCTACAGTTGTTGAAATTCATTTTTTCTCAATCTACACTCAATATCCCATAAAGTGAAAACAAAAGTTTACAAATCTCTGTAAATTTATTAAAAAGAAAAAACTCAAATATCACATTGGCATAAGTATTCAGACCCTTCAGTCAGTATTTATTGAAGCATCTTTGGCATCAATTACAGCCTCAAATCTTTTGGAGTATGAAGCATCAAGCTTTGCACATCTGGATTGGGTGATTTTCTACCATTCTGCCTTGCAAATCCTTTCAAGCTGTCAGCTAGATGGCAACTGTTGGTGGACATCCATTTTCAGGTCCTTCCAGAGATGTTCAATAGGGTTCAAGTCGGGGCTCTGGCAGGGCCACTCTAGGATATTTACAGAGTTGTCTCTAAGCCATTCCTGTGTGCTTAGGATCATTGTCATATTGGAAAATGATCTTCAGCCCAGTATGAGATCCTGGGTGCTGTTATACAGATTTATTGAGTACTTTGTTCCATTCAGCTTTCCCTCAACCTAGACCAGTCTCCTAGTCCTTGCTGCTGAAAAACACCCTCACTGCATGATGCTGCCACTACCATGCTTTACTGCTGGGATGATATTGAGCAGGTGGCTGATTTCCTCCAAACATAACGTTTAAAATTGAGGCCAAACAGTTCAATCTTGGTTTCATCAGACCAGAGAATTTTGTTCCTCATTGTCTGAGACTCCTTAAGGTGCTTTTTTGCAAACTCCAAGCAGGCTTTCATGTGTTTTGCACTAAAGAAAGGCTTCCGTCTAGCAATTCTGCTATAAAGGCCAGATTGATGGAGGGTTGCAGTGATGGTTGTCTTTTGGGAACTCTCCCATCTCCACACAAGATCAAGCTCAGAGGTTCTTGGTCACCTCTGTTACTAAGGCTCTTCCCTCTTCAGGCAGTTCCTTTGACCTCATGGCTTTTGCTCTGCTACAGTATGTATTGTTAGCTGTGAGGTGTGCTCCTTTCCAAATCATGTCCAACCAATTAAATTTACCACAGGTAGACTCCAAGGTGTAGAAACATGTTAGCAGCAATCAAGGGAGGCACCTGAACTAAATTTCAAGTATCGTTGCAAAGGGTCTGAATAATTAAACCAATGTGATATTTCAGTTTTTTCTTTTTAATAAATTTACAGATATTTCTAACATTCTGTTTTTGTCATTATGGGATATTGAGTGTAGATTAATGAGGAAAAAAAAATGAATTTCAATAACTAGAATCAGGCTGCAGCATAACAAAATTGACAAAAGTGAAGGTGTCTGAATACTCTGTAGTTCAGTATTGTAATGCTAGCAAAATAGTCAAGTAAAATGCATTTCATTTATATTATGGATTGTAGAGCACCAAAGAATTGTTACATTGGATTATGATTTTATGCTTCCTTTTTAGTATGGTAAATCTGTCTGAAGGTACAATCTAAAACATTTTTATTAGAAAGCCATTTGAATTCATTGTGGCTTCCTTCCAAGTAAATATGGAATCTATAATTCTGAATCATACAAGTGTATTTTAATATCTAGCCTATTTTGGGATTTATAATTTTTATTTCCCACTTGTAGCAAGGTATAAATTTCCCTTTTGTTTTTCAGGCTCTTGTTGCAATCTAGTTTTAAATGCTTGAATGCTTTACCAGTCTGACATAAGTACTCTGTGCAAGAATGTGTGTATATATATGCACAAAGCTGAAAGAACTGATATATGAGTGAAGCCATAGAAAATATTTGCTTGAAATTTCCTCGGGCAGGGATCTTATAAAGGGCCAGAAATATGGACAGTTCATAGGTATCATTAAATAGGGCATCTATACAAAAAGTAGGAGAAATTTATAAAGGGCATTGGCAATAAATTTTGTTGCAGCTTTTATTTTCAAGTTGCTGTAAATATCACACATTATGTACAGCCTAGGAATGGCATCTTTTTGACCAACCCCAGGAATTTTTGTTTCTTCCATTTTATATACAATTGTATATATGTACATGTGTAAATATATATATGGTGCTCACTTTAGATCAGCGGTGTTGACCATTATGCTGCGTAGCTGTAAAATAGCCTTTAGTTATGTATGGTTGGGTGAACTACTTGGGTGTACAAATGTTAGCCTGAATGTTGTCTTTTATTCATCTGCTCACAAGTGAATGACTGTGCATGTATTATATGTTGTATTATGTTCTGTTAAAGGAGGGAGAGAATAACCACTACATGAAAATATATTGGACCAAACTATATAGAACAAGTAACAGTTTTCTGTACTCCTCAATTTTATCTTGACAAATTGCTTATAGTTACTGTAGCATATAAATATTGTGAAAACAACTAGTCTTGTATTTTTCTGTATGAATATATAATGTACCTCTAGCAATTTATCTGTATTTAAGATGTGACAATCTTGACAGAAGAATTAATTTTGCAAGTAGCAATTAAATTAAGCAGAATTGAATGCAGAAAACTTAAGTGTTTTAAGAGAGGATACAGAAATATCAGTTGATCTTTGTCAGTTGCTTCCAGCAATGTTTGGCTTTTTTCACTATGTAACTATTCATGGTGTGTGACAAAAATCCAATTAATAAAAATGATCTCTTGATCAGTGCAAAAAAGACTTCCATGACAACTTTATATATATTCACTAGTATGATTTCTGTTTCAGCACTGAAAAGCTGACATATTGGCCCTGCTGTAATAGGTAAACTATGATAATATTTGTCTGTAACTATTACTTTATGAGTGATTGTCTACATTTCCTTTCTGCCTATTATGCAGGCATGTGCAGCATTAAGCTTTCCTTCTTCCCTCTGTTGCTTGTCATCTCAGTACAGTTATCCACTATGAAGGTAAAAATATTTAGGAGTCCTACACTCTTTAAATTACGTTGTATTTTGAGATTTATTCATATCTTAGTAGAACTGAAAATACAAAGCAAAATGTTCCTCTTGTGAAGTTTGTTTTATCTCTTCAACTGCTGCATATCTTTAACAGTACAAAATAGCAAGTTTAAAACTGCTCAAAAGACTATTCCTTTTGTGATGCACCTTTGTTCAGTTTATTAACAAACCATATCCAAAGCCCATCATTTTGCAATAGCCACAAATATGTAGGAGGAAGGAGTGCACATAAACCAAAGTTTAGGATGAAATACATTTGACAATGCAGTTATTATTATCGCAAATAGCTGAAATTTGAAACGTTGATTATCTTTTAGCCAAGATGGTGCCACCAACAGCAGCCTTGGTGAAATGTTCTCTGATAGTTTTTCTGTTTTTTATAATTCTATGATTCTCTATGGATTTCATATTCAAGAGACCAACTACTAAGTATCAAGCAATGTTTCTTTGATGGGCAACTTTATGTGACTTCACTCCCCCCACACACTGTCTTTACAAATGCAGAAGAGTTTCTAACAGGAAGAAGCAACTTCCTCTGAACAATGGATAAACAAAAACAAATGGAGATGAAAGCGAAGAAGAAGCCGGAGGCGAAGGAGTAAGCAAGCGGGAATTTTGAATAGACTAAGGAAAAATGACCCCTATCCCTTCACTTTTTCTGACTAATTTACGTTCACTCACTAATAAGTTGGATGAAATACTTCTTTTAAATAAATGCAATTTTGATTTTTACAACTCAGCAGCTCTCTGCTTCACTGAAACTTAGCTAAATGAGTGAATTGATGATAGTACCTTGCATATCCAAAGATTTCAGATATATAGAGCAGACAGAATTGCAGAAACATCTGGTAAAAAGAAGGGAGGAGGCTTATGTTTTTATATTAACAGCCGCTGGTCCAGAGATATAACTAAAGAAATTCTGTGATGTGGATTTAGAGACATTAATTATAAACTGCAAGCCATTCTATTCTCCACAAGAGTTCTCATTTCTCCTAATTGCTGTGTATGTTCCTCCACAAGTTTGTGTAAACAATGCATTACGAACTCTAGCTGATCAGATTATGTGGGCTGAAGTTAAATACCCAGATTCATTTCAAATTATTTTAGGAGATTTTAATAAAGCAAACTTTAAGAGCTACTGAACTATTTTCAGCATGTCAATTGTCTCACTAGAGGCAAGAATACTTTAGACCATCGCTACACAACATTAAAAGATGCTTATCGGTCTTACCACGAGCAGCTGTGGGACACTCTGATCATTGTATGATTCACCTTGTACCTGCTTACAGACAAAGACTGAAAACCAAGAAAGCAACAAATCAGTAAAAACTTGGACTGAGGTGGCAAAGCTAAAGCTACAGGCTTGCCTTGACTGCACTGATTGGAATGTGTTCGAAGGCATCTCTGCAGACTTGGATGAACTCACAGATATTGTAACATCATATGTCAGTTTTTGTGAAGACCTATGTGTGCCAACCAGAAACCTGAGAATATACAGTAACAATGAACCTTGGTTTACAGCTAAACTTTTTTTTATAAAAAAAAGTGTGTTGGTTGGTACATTTCTTTCGTGCAATGTCACAATATCAACAGTCTTCCCTTCCAAACATGCATTCATATTACATAAGTCAACTATACATATGTTATATTGTGTTGTTATTGTATCGTCGTTAAACCCAACTAAAAATGTTTATATTTCTTATCGAACAAATCTCTCTTTTAACAAACCTGGGATCATACGATTCATTTCCTTATATTCAATTATATAACATAATTACATCATATTATCTTACATATTATACTATTCCTTTCCATAAGTTTACTTCTCTATTTTCTTATTTTCCATTGATAAAATAAATCCCAAATTTTATAATATTCTTTATCTTCTTGCTCTCTGATTGCTAATGTCAATTTACTCATTTCTGCACATTCCATCATTTTCTTAATCACCTCTTCCTCTATTGGATTTTTTTCACTCTTCCAATTTCTAGCAAATACAATTCTAGCTGCCGTTAACACATTTATAATCAAATACGTCAATTCTCTACTGTATGCTTCAGGCAAGATACCCAATAAAAATATCTCTGGTTTCAAGTCTATATACTGTTTTATCATTTTTTTTAAAGCCATGTATGAATCTTAGTCCAGTATCTCTTAGCTTTCACACACGTCCACCACATATGATAATATGATCCAGGTATCTGATGACACTTCCAACATCTCTCCGATTTGTTCTTGAACATCCTTGCTATTCGTGCTCGGGGTAAATGCCATCTGTAAAACATCTTATACAAATTCTCTTTATACCCTACTGAAATTGTCAATTTATAATTTCAAGACCATAGTTTTTGCCATTTATCTAAATCTATCCCATGTCCAAAATTCCTCCCCCAGGCAATCATTGTTTCTTTAACTTGTTCTTCCTCCAATTTAATTCCAAGTAAGTAACCATAATTTTTTTTAATCATTTTCTCATCAGTACCTGTTAAAATTTCATCCAGTTCTGTAAGTTCATTATAAAATTCCTCTGTTTTACAATCTTTGTCAAGATTGTACCCATCTCCACAATGCCCATCTCAGACACAACAACAACAACCAAGCCTCCTACAACCTACCCCATCCCATTGGGTCCACCACCTCTGGGGATTACAGAGAATGAGGTACAAGGTCTATTTCACAGAAAAAAGCCAGGAAAAGCACCAGGCCCAGACAAGATAATTCCTTGCTTAAAAGCTTGTGTGCTGATCAACTGGCCCCCCATCTTTACCTGCATCTTTAATAAATCACTAGAGATGTGATATGTTCCTTCTTGCTTCAAATGCTCTTCTATTGTCCCAGTGCCAAAGAAATCTTTGATCAAGGAAATGAATGACTTCAGACCGGTTGCTCTAACATCTGTAGTTATGAAAACCTTTGAAAGGCTAGTGCTGGCCCACCTGAAAACCATCATGGATCCTTGCAATTTGCCTACCGAGCAATAGATTGACAGATGTTAATATGACTCTGCACTACATCCTATAACTTCTTGAATCTCCAAAGACGTATGCAAGGGTCCTCTTTGTTGACTTTAGTTCAGCATTCAATACCATCATTTCAGATATTCTTCTAAGTAAACTAAATCAGCTAGCTTGACACTTGTAAATGGATCATAAGCTTCCTAACAGACAGGAAGCAGCAGGTGAAGCTAGGCAAAATCACATCGGATATCTATACAATTCGCACAGGACTCCTCAGGGCTGTGTGCTCTTTCCACTTCTCTATACCAATGACTGCATCTCAAAAGATCCCTCTGTTATAGTACTGAAGTTTGCAGATGATACAACAGTGATTGGTTTCATTCGAGACAATGATGAATCTGCATACAGACAGGAGGTTGAACAACTAGCCTTATGCAACCAGAACAATCTTGAACTAAATACACTCAAAACTGTAGAAGTGATAGTACATTTTAGGGAAAACCCTGCCAACTACCACCTCTTACAATAGTAGACAACACAGATCAGTAGTAGAGATGTTCAAGTTTCTAGTTTCTATCATATCTCAAGATTTAAAATGGACATCTAACATCAAAAATTTCATCAAAAAAGCACAACAAATAATGTTTTTTCTGCACCAACTTAGAAAGCTCAAATTGCCCAAAGAGCTACTGATTCAGTTCTACAGAGGAATTATTGAGTCTGTCATCTGCATCTCTATAATTGTCTGGTTTAGCTCTGCAACCAATCAAGACAGACACAGACTTCAAGGGATAATTAGAACTGCAGAAAAAACAATTGCTACAAACCTGCGTTCTATTGAGGACCTGTATACTGCATGAGTCAAAAAGGGCTTTGAAAATATCTACAAGACCCCTCACATCCTGGACATAAATTGTTTCAACTTCTACCCTCAAAACGACGCTATAGGGCACTGCACACCAGAACAACTAGACACAAGGATAGTTTTTTCCTGAATGCCATTATTCTGCTAAACAACTAATTCCCACAACACTGTCAAACTACTTATTAAGACTGTATTGCTATTCTTCTCATCCTTCCTATTACCTATCTCTTCCCACATGACTATAACTCTGTTGCTTGTATCTTTACAATTTATATTTTATTTGTTTCCTAGTATGATTTTATTGCTTATTAGTAACTTATCACTAATTTTTGTATCTTATGATTCTTGATGAATGTATTTTTTCCTTTTATGAACACCTGAGAGAATATGCACCAAAGACAAATTCCTTGTGTGTCCAATCACACTTGGCCAATGGAGAATTCTATTATAGTTTTAAAAAGTGCAAAGAAAAATTGCTAAAATGTAAAATGTACTTCAGGTATGATCAGATTATAAAATGTTCTGAGAGAGGCAATCTATATTAATAGTCACATAATCAAAAAGCAACTCTAACATCCTGAGGCTGCTACTGAAAACAAAGGAAAAAACAAAAATAGGAAAGAAGTCTGCAAGCATACATTCCAACATGTATCTACTACCTCAAACAATACTGCAGAAGTTTATGTGTCCCTAATTCAGACTTACTTCAGCTTCCAAAGCAGCCAGTGACATTTATTCCTGTTTTTGACCCTTTGAAACACCTTAAAACAAAGGAACCCTTTTAATAGGATAAATGAATGGAAAGCTGAAGAGGTCATACTTACATGCTGGTTTTATGTATCCATGGTATCATATGAAATGTTGATTGTATATAGTTAACCAGGCTAGAAACC